TGAGTTTAAGAGGAAAAACTCTGTCAAAATTTAGAGAGAAAAATGTAGGGGTGAAGGCCAAGAAGAAGGAACAAAGTTCAAGCTTCAAGATCAAGGTATGTGGTGGCTGTAGCATCTGATTTGATACCTATTTCGAATCAGTTACTGTACGTATCTGATTCTGAAATTTTTCATGCTTAAAGTACACTCTGTGAGCTTTAAATCCATGGGTAGAACACTCCATTTGGATATGTGTACGATTTATGGTGATTTTTCAAAGTTAGGGTTTGAAATCTGGAAACAGTGTTGAACTTTTGGGAGATTGTCGAGTTCCGTACAATTCTGGTACTGTTCTGAGTAGAATTGGTTCCTGAAACTATTTTTCCTTTAAATTTAACTTAATTAGATTTCAGTGAGACTTGGAAGCACTCAATTTGGAGTTTTCTAGATTTAATTATGAATTTTGAAAGTTGAGCAAAAATTCTGGAGATTCTGCGTGAACAGTACCCGCGAACCAAAATTTCCAGATTTGATATTCTTGAATCTAAAGCCATCTAAGGTGGTCCTAATTGATAGGAAATAGATCATAAGGATGTAAAATGATAAGATTTATATTAGAAAAGTTAGAAAGAAAATCCTAAGACTAAGAGAAAGGGGTTGAGGTTCAAGAAAGCTAGTCTTGAACTTTATGTAATCTAATGGTCCTAATGGATTGTGTCATCATTATGGCTATGTTTAGGACCTTTGAAACATCCAAGAGGATGTTTAGTGATGTTGACCGAATGCCCACATGGTTGGAAAGTCAAGGGAGTCAAAGGAAAAGTAAGAGGAAAGCTTGAGGTGCAAGGTAGTGAACTTACCCTTTATGTGCTTGACATGGTATGCTTATGTGTTGGTTTGTATTTGTTTTTTGAATGATGTTGTGACATGATGATTGTTGCTGGAAATGATGTTTTTAATATGTTCCCATGGCCATGCATTTTTATACCAAGCATAAAGCATGATGGCATGTCACTAGTTAACTTAAATTTATGAAAAACTACATACCATACACTAGCATCCATCTTGTGCATGTATGTGGTAATGTTTGCTACTGAGATTCCCCCAAATCTCACCCCCTTCCTAACCAACCGTTTAGGTCAATCAATGATGGGCACTAATGGCATGAGAAGCAAGGAGAAGAAGTGGAGAATTATTAAGGCAAATGAATGATATTAATATTCAATGTATAATTCTCCTATGCTATAAATTATGTTATGAATGCCATTACTTCAATGTATATGCTTAGGATGTTTATGGCATGAATGAAAGTATATGAGTATGAATGAGAAAGATTAAGCCCATGCTATGTATGTCAAAGAAATAAAAAGAATTAAAGTAAGGAGATATTAAGGGATAAAACGTAGGTCCTGAAGCAGTTAATTTCAAGCTTCAGTTCGACCTATCATATGAATGAGTTAAGCTACGGAATTTGGTACACTTATAATGCATATCCCAAGCTTTAAAATGAGTGGTAAATCACATCATTTGGATGTGTATACAATGAGATATGAATTTTCGAAGTTAAGGCGCAGAATCTGGAAAGTCCAGATTTTACCAAATGAATAGTAATTTTAATCCAATAAACTGTACGAATTGGGCAAGAATAAGTCCAATTGAGTATTTTCCCCTTAAATAGCATTGAAAGAGCTTTCCGTAGAATTTTGGAACACCTCCATACGATTTTTCTAGAATTAGTTATGATTTTTCAAAGTTGGACCTGTAATATGAAAACTGGACAGTAAACAGTAATTTCTCGAAAATTTACGTCCAAATTGAAATTTTTAAGCTTAAGACCATCCAAAGTGGTCTGGAATGGTTCTAAATGAATGCTAAGGTATTATATAAGTAAGGTGTGACAAGCTTTCACCCCGTCTAGGGTGGCTAAGAAAGAGTGATCCTCTATCACCTTATTTGTTTGTCATTTGCATTAATAAATTTGCTCACTCGATATAAGAGGAGATTCATAATAGCAATTAGAGACCTATTAGACTGAATAAGAATGGACCTTCTATGTCATACTTGTTGTTTGCAAATGATTTAATTCTCTTTGTAGAATTTGCTACTAACTAGATTATTGTAAGTTTTATGTTGGTTCTAGATAGAAAGTGAGCCAGTCCAAAACTTGTATTTTTTTCTCTAATAATATCAATTATAATTGGTCATATCAACCTTATTAAGGGAATGATGAACCTTATGGTGTCTTCATGACTAAGGTTGTAAGAGATAAGTTCTCTTAAGGTCTTACCTAGATCATTTGTTCGGTTTCTTGTATTTGGGGTTACAAGAGGCAAGTTTTCTTGGGGTCTCCATCCATTTGTTACTTGATTCTAGCCAATCCGTAGGTCTCTAATATCAACTAGCCATGGAAAGCATTGCAAGCTTGCACCCAATGTCCCAACCCACACAAGAGAAACATTTGTCTACTGCACTTGATTTGGGTACATAAAGATAGTGGGTTTGTTGAAGGCATTAGGATTTGTTGGTTCTAATAATAAAGGAGAGGCGGCTTGGAGGAAGATGAAAATTTGACTTCTTTGGCGATAGAGGGAGGCTAGAAGAGGCACCACAAATGGGTTGTCAAAAGAAATTGCATTAGTGATATCACAAGATTTTAATTCCTGAATCGGAGGGGAGAAACCAAGTTTTTGCACCAGAATAAATAAAACAAGTTAGGGGGGGGGGGTCAGATTTCCATTTCAGCAGCCCTAACACTTGGATAATTTTTGGTCAAAAATTTTCCTAGTCATTATTTTAACAATCTTAAATTTTGGTTAGGATTGAATGAGATTGCACCAAAAAAATTAGTTCAGTATTGAAATTGCACCATAAAAAGTTTTAGAACACTAGATGTGCCTGAAAAAATATTTCAAAATGTTAAATGCTCCTTACCTCATGTTTTTTATTAGAAGTACTTTATGTGATTATTTTCAATCCTTTTTTTTCCAGTTGTAAGCAATATATTTCTAGTCATTTGTAAGAGTTCTCAACACATAAGTCATTTGTACTTAATTAAAAATATGTTGATATAATTGAAAAAGGGTTCTACTCGCTAAAAATGATCACACCCTCTCATGTTGATGATATCAGATTTGAAGATAAGAAAACAAAGCATAAATTCAAATGTTTGAAATTAGATTTTATTGTTAAAAATTAATTTTATCAATAAAAATATTTCTTTGTCCTATCACACATTTAAGTTGTATTTTTTAAATTTATATTTTTAACAGTAATTGGTTCTGGTTTTTTTTTTTAAATGTATTGGTTCTTATTTCTATACTTTAATACATTTTAGTTTTGATCCCTGTACTTATTATCACTTTTAAACTCAAATCCAAATCCATATAAATAGAGGCTAATGTTTTGATGGGAAAAAATATAGGGACTAAAATAAAAATTTAATCAAGTTGCAAGGGCTATCAATAATATAAACCTGTTGGCAAAAAAAAAAAAATCAATAATATAAACCTTTTTAATATATCTTTTTTCTTCGCTATCTCATTCGGCCATTCTGTTTCCTTCGATTAAACGCAGATCCAGTCTCTTTCCCCCGTCTAGCCGTCTTGTTTCGTCGAGCCCATCCCTCACTCCCTCTTAGCTCTTGTTCCCACACTGAGTTTCTCGTGGTCGTGACTCGTACGTCGTCGTCGACGCTTGTGGTTGTGATTCGTGGGTCCTCGTGAATCTGCTTGGGGTTGCGGCTTCTCGTCGAGCTGCTTGTGGAGTTGTTGTCGTGGGTCCTTGTCGAGCTGCAGGAACCGCTTCGTCTCCATCCTCTTTGGTGAGGTAGGATTCCTGTTCCTCTTCATTCACCCCTTCTCGTTCTCGAGGTGAAGCAACTGAGGGAGTGGAATTTCTGTGACCTTAAAATTTTTCGATGTTTGGGAATAGAGTGCATTAAATGGTTCCTGGCTTTTTGCTGTTCAATGTTTATTTGGCAACAGAGGGCGTGAAACAGTACTACTGCATGCTTATTATTGGATTCAGGTTCTGGCTTGTTATTGTTCATCGTTACCTGGCTTTAATTTATTTTTTTGGAATTGTGCTTGGTTTTACAATTACAAGCCCCTGGAAGAAATTGTTGAGATATGCGATGAAGGTGGTGGGATGAGAAGCTACTGTTAAAATTGCTTTATTGCTTTATATCATCTAATGGTATTGCATTCTATTGCATGATGTACATTCACAGGTCACAAGTCAGGAGCTCTACATGATTTAAATGGCACATACAAAGTCCTTTTAAGGAATATTTTTTTCCCTTCTACATCATGCATGATGCAGGTTTTCTTCTGATCTGTGGATTGAAGCCTCCCAAAACAATAGCTTTGTTGCCACCCAGTCATGGTTTGAGGCCAAACCGGACTGGACCGGTCCTCAGACAAAAAAGTTGATCCCGGTTATCTTTTAGACCAAATTTTAGATTGATGCTTAGCCTGGTCGAGTCTTGTCTTTGTGCAGCCCTATTTGGTGGACCAAGTCTGGTCAAGCTCCACCTTGGGTTGCTACTAGACTAGATTGGACCACAGATTGCCTAACCTAGCCCGTCTATGAAACAGACTAGACTTCAGGATAGACTCTAGTTCAGTCTGGTCGCTCTATCCGTTGTGCAGCCCTACTTTGGGTTGGGCTCTGAGTCCAGATTGTGTTGTGCAGCCCTAACAAGCAATGTCTATCTTGTCCTTATTGTCATTATTAAACAATGTCATGCTTTTTTCATTAGTCGTTTAACATGATGGTTACTGACAATTTTTTTTTTTCCGATTCAATTTTCATTCTTTTACTTGATGTGTACCAAATGACCCGTGAGTGAACAAGACAGGGACAAGTGGTAAAAAAACTCACCCTATTATTCCTCATTGCCATCCTTAGCTTTTAGGACACTAAAATTAGTGAATTTTATGTCATTAGTTAATTGCTTGTGTTGGTAATAATTTTTGTTTTGTTCCAAAATCTATTATAGGAACTGCAATTTTGTGGTCAATTTCATAATAGATATGGAGGAAGATGATGATTACGTGGAGTATGTGCCTGTGGCCAAGCGTAGGGCCATGGAGGCTCAGAAGATTCTTCAGCGAAAAGGAAAATCCTCCGCCACAGTTGATGATGATTTAGAGAAATCAAGAGTAGCTGAAGCTAAACCAAGTCTTTTGGTTAAGGTGTCACAGTTGAAACGGGATCAACCTGAGATTAGTCCAACAGAGCAGCTTGTCCAACAAGAAAAAGAAATGATCGAGAACTTGTCAGATCGAAAAACTCTGATGTCTGTTCGGGAATTGGCGAAGGGAATCACCTATACAGATCCTTTGCCTACTGGATGGAAACCACCTTTGCCAATCAGAAGAATGTCTAAAAATGCATGCGATTTGATTCGGAAGCAGTGGCATATAATAGTCGATGGTGAAGACATCCCACCCCCAATTAAGAATTTCAAGGATATGAGGTTTCCTGAGCCTATTTTGAAGAAGTTGAAAGCAAAAGGTATTGTACAACCAACGCCTATCCAAGTACAAGGCCTTCCTGTGATCTTATCCGGGAGGGATATGATTGGAATTGCATTCACAGGATCAGGGAAAACTCTAGTCTTTGTGTTGCCAATGATTATGGTGGCACTGCAAGAGGAAATTATGATGCCTATTGTTCCAGGAGAAGGTCCGTTTGGTCTGATTATTTGCCCATCAAGGGAACTAGCTAGACAGACTTATGAAGTAGTTGAACAGTTCTTGATACCTCTGAGAGAAGCTGGATATCCTGAGCTTAGGCCATTGCTTTGTATTGGTGGGGTAGATATGAGGTCACAGCTAGAAGTTGTGAAGAAGGGTGTCCACATTGTTGTTGCCACCCCTGGGAGGTTAAAGGATATGTTAGCAAAGAAAAAAATGAATCTTGATAATTGCAGGTATTTAACATTAGATGAGGCTGATAGATTGGTAGATTTGGGATTTGAAGATGACATTAGAGAAGTGTTTGATCACTTCAAAGCTCAAAGGCAGACGCTCTTATTTTCTGCCACTATGCCGACCAAAATTCAGAATTTTGCTAGAAGTGCTCTAGTGAAACCAGTCATTGTCAATGTGGGGCGAGCAGGGGCAGCAAATCTTGACGTAATCCAGGAGGTAGAGTATGTTAAGCAAGAGGCAAAAATAGTGTATCTCCTTGAGTGCCTGCAAAAAACCCCACCTCCAGTTTTAATATTCTGTGAGAATAAGGCTGATGTGGATGACATTCATGAATATCTTCTCTTGAAAGGAGTGGAAGCAGTGGCTATTCATGGAGGCAAAGATCAGGAAGAGAGAGAGTATGCAATTGCAGCCTTTAAGTCTGGAAAGAAAGATGTGTTGGTTGCAACTGATGTTGCATCCAAAGGATTGGATTTTCCTGATATTCAGCATGTTATTAACTATGACATGCCTGCTGAAATTGAAAACTATGTTCATAGGATTGGACGAACTGGACGATGTGGCAAGACTGGCATAGCAACAACGTTCATTAACAAGAATCAAACTGAGACAACCTTGCTTGACTTGAAACATCTGCTGCAAGAAGCTAAACAGCGCATTCCCCCAGTTTTAGCAGAGCTAAATGATCCAATGGAATATAACGAGGAAATCACAGATAAAAGTGGGGTCAAGGGCTGTGCGTATTGTGGTGGGCTTGGTCATCGCATTCGGGACTGCCCCAAATTGGAACATCAGAAGAGCATGGCAATTGCAAATAACAGAAGGGATTATTTTGGTTCTGGTGGATACAGAGGAGAAATATGAAAAGCACCGCTTCATTGTGTATCAGTTTATGTATTGGAACTGCGACATGATTTTTGTCGGATGAAATTTTATCAACTGTATTTCATATCTTAAATGTCCAATGTTGTGCTTCATTCATCTGGATTGATTATCATATGTTCATGCGGTCTCGAAAGATTCTCCCTATAACGACTTCCTGTTGCTGCACTTATTTTTATGCCCATAGAAGTAAATGGTCTCCGTTGGCTCGTTGCAATTGTATGGTACTTTCTATAACCTCTTCCCCTGCTACCATACTCATTATCTGACCTAAAATTCAATATTTGTTAACTTTATTTATATTCAATATATATAACTTCATAAAATATATATATATATATATATTAAACATATATGAAGTTTTTTAAAAAAAAAAAACTTCATAAGAAAATAACAATCTATAAAATAATGGGAAAATCCCATATAAATATTATTTGAATTTTGAAATTCCAGATTAGTCATTCTAATTTAACAAAGGACAAATAGGTCTACAGGTATTGAATTGGGATTTAAAAATTTTAACAAATTACCTCAATGCCTTTTTTCTCATCGTTTTTTGTCTTCTCTTTCACTTCATGTTTAGAAAGCTCTTTTCTCTCTCTTCAGGTTCTTTTCTTCTTCATAGGCAGCAAAACTGAAGGCTAAGCATAAACTGTCAAAGGGTTCGATGAAAAAGAAGAAGATGTGGTCTCTCCTACGGCGTTCTGATATGTTCCGAATGAATATTTCATTATGCTTGGGGTTTGAGACTTGGTACCTCTTATCTTTCGTCTTCCCTTGTCAATCTTATCACTAACACTATAAAGGGGAGAGAGAGAGAAATAAAGTTTAGAGAAGAAGCAAAGAAAAAACAGGAAAGAGAGAGAGAAGAAGAGAGGGAGTGAACCTGTGGGATTACGTAAGTGAGTAGAAGTTAATGGTGGGGTTTGGGTTGTTCATTTTTGTGGTTGCTTCGTGGTGAAATAAAGACAGGATTATTGGGTTTGAGGGTTTATATTCAGTATTTGGTGAATGATGTAGCAAAAATCAGAAAATGGTGGCAAGCAATTACGTAATATAACTGCTGTCATATGTCTGCTGGTTTTTGATAAATGTCGTTACGTGAATGGTATATTTCATTACACATGTAGTTAATTATGAAAATTAATAGTTCAATGTTTATTGTGATGTACTTTATGTGTACATTCACTAAATGGTTTATTTGTGTTTACAAGTTGCCCATCCAGTGAAAATAGGTTTACAAAATCTATTGCAGAAGTGGTCACTTTCACTATGAAAGTTGTAAATCTTACTATGTGTTTTGTAAAAATTCAGCGTAAAATTTTATTGGTGGTCAAAAACAGGTTACTTATCTCCCAAAAATAGGTTGTAAAACTTATTAATAAAACAATCACTTTCACTATGAAAGTTATAAATCCCAATATATGTTTTGTAAAATTTAGCGTGAAATTTTGTTGGTTTTTAGAAACAAATTGCCCATCCCCTCAAAACAGGTTGCAAAACCCATTTAAGAAGTGGTTGTTTTTACTACGAAAGTTGTAAATCCCATTATATGTTTTGTAAAATTCAGTGTGGAATTTTATTGATTTTCAGAAACAATTTGCCCATCCTTTAAAAACAGGTTGCAAAATCCATTTAAGAAGCGGTCATTTTCACTACTAAAATTGTAAATCCCACTATGTGTTTTGTAAAATTCAGCGTGGAATTTTATTAGTTTTTAGAAACAAGTTGCCCATTCCCTAAAAACAGGTTGCAAAACTCATTAAAGAAGTGGTTATTTTCACTACGAAAGTTGTAGATCTCACTTTGTGTTTTGTCAAATTTAGTGTAGAATTTTATTGGTTTTTAGAAACAAGTTACCCATCTCCTGAAAACATGTTGCAAAACTCATTAACAAAGTGATCACTTTTACTATGAAAGTTGTAAATCTCAGTATGTGTTTTATAAAGTTCAGGGCAAATAGTTTAATAATACTAGAAAATCAGGCATCTTTATATTCCCTAAAAATAGTTTTATGCAAAGAATAGAGACGGAACCAGAAAGAGAAATACTCAAGGTTCAAAAAACCGGACCGGACCGGCCGGTTCAGACCGAAAACCGGTGAACCGGTTCCTGGTCCGGTCTGGTTTAGCTTATAAACCGGTCTTACAATCAATTGGGAAGAACCGGGATGGACCGGAAAAAATCAGTACAAACCGCAAAAATCGTTGGGTCAGATGGGTCGCCGGTTCCTTTTTTTTTTATCACTTCTTTTCCACTCTCACTAGTCACCAGAGAAGCCATGAAGCGTCTGATGTTGGTCGAAGAAGCTGTAAATACTAAATACTGGACACTGCTGAGATACATGGTAAGAGCAGAGAAAATCATGGAGAGAGACTCAGAAATTTGTTTGGAAGTCTGCTGCGTGCATGCTTCTTTGATTCTACTCGTGGGAGACTAGACGGTGAAGAGGAAGCCGGAAGACAATGGAGGGGGATGAGATATGTATAAAGAAAGAAAAATGACACCGGAAAAGAGCATGAGAGAGGCAGAAAGCAATTGAGAAAGAGGAGTAATGATGAGTGTTTTCAAGAAGCAAGTCTGCCGTGTCCACTGTTGAAGGAGAAGAGAGAGAAGGAAAGAAAAAGCTGACTTGTTATGACTTATGCGGGTTATGGTGGGAAATGGCAGTAGTATCACGTGAGAAAGAGAAGAAAGGGATAAAATAATTTTAAAAAAAGGATTTTAATAGGTAAAGAGAAAAGAAGAAAAGATAAAATAGAATAAAAAATAAAAAAAAAGAAAAAATTTCATATATTTTTATTCATTTTAATTAAATTATACTATTTTAATAATTACCGGTCTGATCCCGGTTGGACCCGATCTGACCCACTAACCCTTAAACCACTACATTAACCGGTTTAGTGTCCGGTCCGGTTTTTTGTTCCTTGGAAATACTAGACAATAACATTTTAAGCTTTGGAGACCCATCGAAAATGCTTTATGAAGAGCAATATTCAAGCTTCCTGTTTGTTTATAATAGTTGGCGTTACTTTAGTGACCTTCTCGACGACGGTAATCTCAAGGAGTACGAGTTATTTCAGACAGGGTAATGTATTTCAATGACGGTAACTAACTTCAACGACGGCAATTTACTCCTATGACGGGGGTAATGTGATTTCGAAGAATCCTTTTCGATGGCTGGAGGAACTTGGATTTAGTTTTCCTTTAGGTTTCATTATAATGAAAGTACTCTTCCGGTCCTTAATAAAAGACTCAATTATTAAGTTGGTTTTGATCCTAAATATAAGACTCATTTCTTATATTTATCAATTTTCTCTAAATTACCCCTATGGATACTATCTCAACCATAATTAAATAGAAGAGGAAGATGGGGTATTAAGAAAAATAATTATGATATTTTAGGAAAAATGTGTCATATTTTGTATAATTAACTAACTTACCTAATTTCCTTAATTTAATCAAATTAGTTAAATATGTCTTATATTAAGGATCAGAGGAGTAGCTTTTAACAGCATTTGTGAAGTGATTAACAACTTTCAAAATAAATATACCAATTTTCATAATGTGTTTCACAATCTCTTTATTTGTAACCATTTCTAATATATTTATATATAATTTTACTAAACATACAATGAGGACAACTTCTGAAATAAAAATGACTATTTGTATAAAGAGTTTTATAATTTGTTATAAGCTATTTGCAGACATTTTTGCAAAACAAGTAAAAAGAATCACAACTTGCGTAATGCAAGTTACCATTTACATTAGGAGATTTGCAACTATTTTTAATACTTTTACCCACAATTTTACTGAATATATAATGAAAATAACAACTTACAAAATGAAAGTGACCATTTATGTAATGAGTTTTGCAACCTATTTTAATCAACATGTCAGTAAGTGAAAATATTCAACCGCTTTTTCTTTGTCTTACTCTAAGAGCGTATTAGTCATTTTACTAAAATCTGCAAATCCCAAATTCATACTTCATGCCTATTGGTTATTTCATTTATTTGGATCACTTTTTTATCTTTTTCAATTTCAATGAGTATTTTTTTATCATTTTCCCCAAAATAATAAATTATGAGCAAAATTGCACATTCATTTAATATATTTATTGAGATAACTCATATTATAGGTCAAAAGGGGAATAGTCTTAAAAAAGAAGTTCACTTTATGTGGTTAAGGAAGTCTATTATTAGCTGAAATGTGGTACTTATATATCTTGATTTTCTACAATACAGAGATAAAAACAACTTTTTAAAAATAAGTTTTATATATTTCCCAAATTTGAAGAGCAAGGCCAATGATTCAGAAATATTATAACTTTTTATCGAATTATATTACGTATATGTTTTTTATACGCTTATCTATCTGAGTGGAGATGATTTGAGCGTTGTTGAGCCTAATTAAGAGTGGCTGATCTCTCAAAAACGATTTCTGCATTCACAGAAAGTATAACTCAATAGCTTGTGCTTAGCGAGAGTTTGAAGTGTTTCTTTTCCCACTAGAAACGAGAGTTTAGACTGATAAAATATTGTATGGTTGATGGTTATTATCGTGTGTCGCAGTTCTCAAGGGGATTTCTGATGGTTTATCTCTGGGAAAGAAACCTGAAGAAATGGATCAATTAGTAAAACACTAAAACCTTGTATTTATGATCATTTACTGTTAGATTTTCGAACCATACAAGTCATTACCATGTAATATCCTTTATGCCGGTAGGCAATCTATGGAAAGCACGAATGAGGCATCAACAGGCATCTGAAGTAGCAAATAAGAAGATTATATCACATTTTGTTATTCAGCTTGTGCGTTGCCGAACTTAGCTTGATTGACATGAGTGGGGCACTCTCAATAATTGAATTTTATTGTCTATGCACTACCACAAGAAATACGTTTATCGGCACCATTTTATGACGGTTAAAAAGAAACATAGTGAAAAAAAATAGTGACATATTTGTAATTAAAGGGCAGTAACTATTGATTTTTCACGGCGGTTATTCATATAGCCGTCATGAAAAGTTTTCTGATAGGTTTGAATAACCCTATCGCACATTTCTTTTCCACAGTTTCACAGTGCACCATGGTCCCCTCGTCTATCCCACCACCCAAGCTGCATTTTTCGGCAAAACCTCACCATT